TGCTATCAAGCTTCACAAGGTCAGAAAACTCAAAATATGGAGGTATGTAAAATTTCACATTCTCTTGGAAAATTCTGCAAAGATGAGATTATATGTAACGTGGTAGAGATGGGGATTATCATGGTACTGTGACGTAGATGCCACTTACATAAGTTGAGATAACATGCATATGTTTTGGTGGTACGATAAGAAGATTGTTTTGATGTCATGTTATTTGCGGTTTGTGAGTACTAGAAAAGATAAAGAGAAAAGGATTTATACGACAGGTGATGAGGTTAAACAAGATGAAATTCAAGATAATTGAAATGTTACTCATGCTACAATAGAAAAAGAAAAGTATGTGCAAGTTGAAAATTTGAAACCTGCTTATCCCTTATACATGGAAATCAACAATGAAAATAAATGTAAGGGTGAAAAGCACTTCGGTAAAATTACAATTGAATCCCAAGATCGGCCTGTACTTTGATGATGAACAAGTTGAAGTTCACAAGTGTCCAATAGAAGACGATGTAATTAAACTTTTTAATCACGAAGAAATTAAGGTTGAGACTTGTCAAATTGATAATAATTTTTTTTGTTTTTTTTACCTTTTCTACAATTTTAGTGCCAATGAATTGCATAAGAATAAGGAAAATATAGACAATAAGGTTTTAAGTCACCGTACAAATTCTTTTGTATTGAAAAGAGCATCACTCCACATTGAAAAGCGTGAAGATTTGAAAAAAGCATGAGTGATCTTTGTCGAGAGTGGACTCGAGGATTAGAAATCGAATCATGCTTCGCTTATGAAGGAATTTTACATTGAAATTGTCTGTGAAGAAAATGAGTATGGTAAGAACGAAGTTGAGTTTAGATAATGCAACTGAAGAATATAACGTTTATCGAGCACATCAAAAAATTGAAATTTTTTCAATATCATTATTGACAGAAATTTTTGAGTATTTTCCTCCCGATGGATTGAATTTTTCTTCATGAAACTTGTTCTCGAGTTTTATTCAAGTGGAGGGGATTGATGTATTACACAATCACAATTAGTAGTTTCCTACTACAATTAAGATACATCTTTTCTAGTTGTGTTCATCTTTAAATTATGTTTATTTTTTCTAGTTTCCTTTTCTAGTTGTAATATGTTTTATCTTTTTATGCTTATTTCTTGTTTAAATTATGATTTTAGTTTATTTTCTTTTAGAATTTAGTTTCCTTATAAGGATTGAGGTATATTTTTGTCTATAAATACAAAGGCATCAGTTTTTGGAACAAATCAATTATTATTTAATATATACGAAGTAAGATTATTCCAATATCGTTCTTAATTACTTCATAATTCTTATTTCAAGAATTTTACAAATGCTTTGGCGCCAGTTTTGGAGGATTGGGAGATTGTTCATGGATGGTTGACTAGTGGTGGTGGAGTTGGTGGTCACATTGTGGTTAATTTTATCATCCTTATTCATGGCCTTCTATAATTATTTGCACAGTGAATTTCGAATCATGGGCTATTTTCAATTCATTCAGTTGAAAATTGCTTTTTATTCTCGAGTCCATTGAATCTCGTTTGCTGGATATCAATACCTTAAATAAGGATCGATTCTTGATTAGTGGTGAGTGGGAGGCTAAATACGCTGATGTCACTCGGAGGAGATTGGGGAGAGTGTACTCAGATGATTTTCCTATTTCGTTATCTGGGAT